GTTTGATATAGCTATTCATTATACTATGTCTGTATGTATGATATACCAACAAAATTCACTATCTTGTTTTCTAAATTAGGTCTTAAAATGCTGAACTTAAACACACACACACACATATATATATACACATTATTCTATGAAATAAATTTCGCCTGTACTGAAATAAAAAAAACTTATTTAAGTTACTGAAAATAAAGGTAGAAATTAAAAATGATTTCTAAAGACTAGCATTGTAGATCAGGATTTACACTACAGAGATTTTTTTTAAATCATATATTCTTTCAAATTAATATCTGTCTGTCTTTCTCTAATGCTCCTGCTTCACCTGCAGCACATCAGACAAGGTAATAATTTATGATAATCATATGAAAATATACAATTAATATTCATCACCTCTCATTCCTCATCACTTTAGATGATCAGTAATGCAGAGTGAAAATGCTGTCAGATTTCTAATTGCTTTGTAATGGGCTTGAAACAGGGAAATCATTAAAGGCAAACAATCTGTCATTTGTCTGTTACTTTAACTATCTATCACACAAAAACTCATTAAAGAAATTGCTAATGAGCTACAAAAGACTATACTCATGGTGTTTCTGTAGTAGATTAAAAAGTAATACTATGAATCTATGAATGCCAGAAATATTTTTTAAAATATGATATTTTGTGGAAATTCATCAGAAAACATCTATTCTTCAGGATATTTTTTAAGCTGTGTGGTTTCATTATTTTGACATCTAATCCATCATTGCAGAAATCCCTTTAGCGTGTAAGACTTGTTTTTCATCAGTCTCTAAATAATTAAACTGAAAGGTTGCAAGAAGATGCTGAAATGCTAAATGTGTTTATTACTAGTAAGCTGACATAACTAATAAATAGTACTACAGTAACCCTCATGTTAAGTGAAGAATATATTTTAAAATTTAATTTTTATACTTATATATCTGTGGATTGAACTGTTGAATTTCCAATGCTGCATTTATCCTGAATATTGCTATAATTATAAAAATATATATTCAATTATTGAAATAGGTTATAATAACATTAAAATTCATAAGAACATTAACCACTTTGAAATTTTAACTAATAATAAAATGTTTCATAGCATCACTTCAATTAATTTGGGGTAGAAGGGAGACAAATCATTTATTTAAGAGAGCACACCAAATTCTACATGTCTTTAACAATGCTATCTTTCTAGATAGGCAGCAGAAAAAAGAAACCATGATAATGGCACTAATCAGTTTTAAAAATCAAGAGATATCTAAACAAATAAGCAATAAACTCAGAAATTTTTTGTAGTTTACACAGTCTGGTAGCATTTTATTTTAGGAAAAAACAGAGGAATAAAGGTGACAGTTTGACTAACTAAATTTTTCATTTTTGTGATGATAAGTGAAATCATAAATTTAATTTTTGATAACAAATATAAGAATCTTAGCATTAAAGTCAAACCTCTTTTAAACATGTAAACCTTCACTGTATGTATTAGAATTCACACACACACACACTCGCTCACACATAAACTCCAAATACAATGGTATGTTTAGCCAGGTGTTGCCACTGATATATACCAGTGAATTCCAAACTAACTTCAAAAGGTTCCATAACACCCTGGAAACATCTTCATTATACTCTCTAATTGACTTAAACAGACTTCATATCAACTGTTTAACACATTTTAACCCATAAATTAACACCCCTTGATCATTCAGATTAACCTTCCTCCATGAGTCAAATACATCATAAAAATAAAACTTTTAAAAAGAAATTCAAGCTTAAAGGACTCAAATAGGTTAGGGAGAATTTTTTTTTTGAAACAGCACATACTTGAGGGGCACCACATTGAAGAGATTACGAGAAGGTTTCAGATTCTGGGGTAACTGGAAAATGCACTGAAGAGTCAAAGTGGCCATTAGAACAAAGAGAAAGGGTGAAGAACTAATGATGGAAATGGTAAGTTGGAACCTATAGTGATTACTTAACATTAGAAACAGATGATTGATCATATACAGTTTATTTAATAGGTTCATGAAATGAGTAAAACATTAGATGTGAAGAAGCCAAAGGGCAGGATCAAAAATCCCACATAAAATAATGACTTTTGAGAGATCTGAAACAAGCTCGAAAGAGCACAGACACAACTGTAGTTAAATAAAGAAAAAAACTAAAACTGGGATGCTGCCAGTGAAAGGTATTTACCTTTCTCTCTCCTATTTAGCACACTGCCTTGCACCACTTCAACAAAAGTTCACGGATTCTACTATAGCTATAAAGACAAAAGAGAGACTACACTGTGTGTAGACAATCAATAGGGGAATAATGAAAAAAAATTCTAAAAGATGAAGCAATATTGTTCATTATAGCTGATTCTCTCTACTGTCTAGAGCTTTATGATAATCTGCCAAAAGAAAAAAGGAAGTTTCTCGAATTTTCGCCATTCACCTCTCCCCTCCTTCGAAGTATTATTAACCTTAACACTCCCATACATCTTCTATGTTGGCTTCATTTTGATTCAACGATTTTAATCACTCAGGTAATCTGCCTTATTCATGTAACTGAAAGCTATAACTATCACTGAACCTGTTATTTCCTCTGGTTGCTATAACTTTAACTGAACCTGTATTTCCTCTGGTTATTTCAGTTATTTATTTAATTGTCTGGCCATCCAGACAAACTCTTAAGTTTTTGAGAGGGCTACAGCTGACTACATATTTTGTTCCTTAACAGAGTGTGGAACACACAGTCGTTCAACAAATGACTTGACTGAATGAATAAGTGAATAAAGGCTAAAAGTACTATCTCTTATTTAACCTTATCACACACTAATTCTTGGTGATTTTTTCTACCTTCTTGGTAGATTCTAAGTTGGTCTAAGGATAATAATGTTATTTCAGAACAACAATATTTTGTGGTACAAAATACATACAGCTAGTTCATGATATGCAAATCTTAAAAAATCAGAGGTAAATGATGTCAAGGAAATTAAAGAAGAGTAGGTGATGAAATCAGTAGACAGAGCCAAGTGTTCTTCAGGTCAATACTCAAAAATGGATAAATGGATCATGTGGAATTTCTATTTTTTTATTTTAAAAGACTAATTTGAAGAGATATATACATCCTCATGTTTACTACAACTTAGTTACAGTAGCCAAACAATGGAAAATGCCTTAGGAAATGAACATATGTGTGTGTGTGTGTGTGTGTTTATATACAATGGAATAGTACTCAGCTATTTTAAAAAAGATGAAATCCTGATATTCGTAGCAACAAGGATGAACCTAGCATTTGTGATGCTTAGTGAAATGAGGCTGCTAAAGAAGGCCAAACATTGTATGAGTTCACATACATGCAGTATGTAAAAGAAACTAACTAAATAAAAGAAAAATAAATTGGAATACAAGACCAATTAGCAGTAACCAGAAGGGAAGGTGATGTAAGGATAAGTAAAGTAAAAGGGGTTAAATATATGGGGAAAGACAGAATTGGATTTGTACTGGTAAACTTAATGTAATATATACACACTGAGTTTTAGAGGGCCAAGTGTACATATAATCTTAGGAGAAGAAATCTTTAGCAGAATTAATATGAATTGCAAATATTATCCATCAATAAGAAGCATTCTCAGTTTACCTACCTGTTCATGCCTGGTGAATACCAACTTAGTTTATAGGCAGGCAAGCATTAACGTGATAAATTGAAAAAAATGTGATTTTTTTTTTTGGTTTGGGATTGCTACAACTAAGGGTCCTAAAAACTGTTATATTTGTTTCCATATTTAACTATAGGTATAATACTTGTGTAATCATCTTGAAATCAATTGTTTAATACTTGCCTATCTTTTTATGTGAGATGCTGATGACATAGGAATTGAGAATTTTGGCCTATGTTTTTCACTTGCAAACTATAGTTCAACAGACATTTGATACTAGTAATCATTTTTAACTCAATTGTTTGTCACTTTCATTGTTTTGTTTGGAAATTCCTAAAATACCAGTTGGAATTTTCAATACTCTAATATATCAAAAATGAGCAACAAATATCTCACTATTAATAAAGAACAAACTAACCTTTATAGTGTGCTTACTATTTTCAGTCTTTATTATTTAATTTTCATAACAACCTAAAACCATTTTTATTACTATTTTACAGGGAAAGAACCAAGGCACAAACGTTAATATAACTCAAACAAGTTTATATAGCCAGTAAAAAGCTGCGCCTGGATTCAAGTCTATGAAATATGATTCCAGAAGTCATGCTCTTTAACACCAAAAAAAAAAAAAAAAAATGTAAGTACCTGAGCTTAGTTACCCTAGAAATAATATATAGACTTGCTAAGAGCCTTATTCCACTACTAGACAATTAGACTCACTGGGTTGCCACACTGGGTTAAAGTGAAAGTGAAGCAAGACAATAATTATGAAAACTTTGAAGATTTTAAAGTCGAGTGATAACATCTTCTAAAAATTAGGTTGAACACGTTTCCAGAAAAAAAATAATAAAAGCGATAATAAATTACTTATCATATGTTACATTTCTCCTAATTTTCGAATGAGAACGTTCTAAGAAAAGTGTAGGGAAAAGAACGAGACCAGGTCTGCTTATACTTTCCAAGCCTAACCCCAACATTCTCTCATTCCTCCGCGCCCCCTCCTCCCCGCCCCCCCCGCCATAATACTTCACGTACAACAAATACAAAAGGACTGGGAGCGGCGCTGAACCGGGCAAACCAAGGAAGTTTGGGGGAACAAGAAAGCAGCCCAAGGGACAAAGGTGCTAACTGAGGAAGAAGGGAACAGGGACGAAAGGGAGTTAGAATGAGGGAAGGATGTCTTTTTCCACAGGTTAGGCACTTACGGCTAAAAAACTCCCCGGTATCCGCTACTGGTTACTATAGCGACCGCATCACGGAGGGAGGAGCGCCGCTTCCGAAGTGTGCGTCCGCTTCTACAGCTCGGCTGGAAACTTAGTCACGTCCGAGTAATGACTTCCGGCGGAAGAAGAACCCGGTTCAGCGCTCTGGTCTAAGCTGGCTGGGAATGGGAGATGATGATCCGGTGAAGTTTGGTAAGTTTCATGTTGCGTGAGGACTGAAAAGGGTACTCTCCTTTGACTGGGCGGAAGAACCGACTGTGAATATAGTGAATTCCTAATTCTCAGTTTTGTGGCGCCCTGCTGTCTGGTTAGGTTCACAGCTGTGGGTAGAGGCTGTGGTTTCAGAGGCTTCTGGTGGAGTCTCTTTCCTTGCAAGGCTAAGTATCCTAGCTGGGGTAAGACGGGGAAATCTGTCTTGTTGGAGCCTCTGCAAAAAAAACAAGGGAATCCCCTCCGCCTTTCTGGTAGTCTTCAAGGTAATCTGGAACATATGGACTGGAAAATTTGAGAGGAAATGACCTTAGACTCATTTTAGTCCTTTAGTTTTTGCTTATTTAAAACACTTCTTTTGTAAATATTTAATAAGCTCTTCAAATGTGTTTATTGAGTACTTATCTTGCGCAGGCTTTGCCAGAAGATTATCAGAACTGTAACTCGGGTTTGATTGATCGAATTCTATTTTGCTAGTGTTTGTATATTTTTTAAGATGTAAACGTATTTCGTGAAACATGTAAAAGATTTTTCATTAGTGTCTATATGTAAATACGTGAAATTCTTGGGAATTTTAAATGAAACATATTTCATCAGATTGCATTCTAATCATGATTTAAATAACTTCGTATTTTTAAAAAATTAGAAAAGCACTACTTATTTCTTAGAGACACAAAAACTGTAATTGATTGTCAACAATATGTTCTATTCAGCTAATCTGAAAAGGCCTGCTTCTTGTTCAATAGATGATGGCATTGAAGCAGACATCAAAAAAGGATTGGTACAGCATTTTGGGGGCAGACCCATCTGCAAGTGTGTCAGATCTGAAGCAAAAGTATCAAAAACTTGTATTAATGGTAAGTCTTTTCAAATTTTAAATCACAGGGGATAATTTGTCTTTATATGTGACCAGAAATTTAGTTTTTCAAAAATGATTATAGGACATCAAAATAAATATATGAATCAAAGTTTGTATTTGAAAGTTTCAGTAATGTGAAAAAGTTGGTTTTGAGCTAGAATAACAGCATGACAGCATGATCTGAGTCATGCTGATTGAGTTAGACTCTTGTTTTATCACTAAGAACTTAAAAAAGTGCCTTTACCCTGTCTGTACTTCAGAGAACATTAACTTAAATAACTAATGAAAAATGCTTAAAATATGACATATATTAAGCAGAATTGGCATGCATTTACCACTAGCTATGTTCAAGAGCTTGAATGTGGCTAGTCCAAATTGAGGTGTCCTGAATTGTAAAATACTCATTGGATTTCAAAAACTTGGAATGGTAAAATCTGAAAATTTTTAATGCCATTACATGTTTAAATGATAATATTTTGAGTATATAAGCTATTTTGTGTTAAGCATTTTGGGGGAAGACACATAGTCTGCACATAATATATGTACATAAATGTGCACATACAATATCCTAATTTCATTGGCTGCTTTTAACTTTTTCCTAACATTGTATATGAGGCTTACACTTATAATTCATATTATATTTCTGTTGAGTAATGTGAATTTAATTCATTTAGATACTATTTTTCACCCAACTCCATCATTTTGTAAAATGAGTTAGATTTATAAACAACTCTTTCTGAGCTGTTCATTTTTTCCAATGTATATTGTAACATTTCTTAAGCTAATGTCACTAACTCTGTCATGGTCTCTAATTAATTCAGTTTACAGAAAGAGAAAAGATTATTTATTACTTATATAGCATTGTTTCTCTAGTATTTTCAAGAAGATCTATGAGATTTTTCCATAGTTGTTGTGAAAGATGATAGATGTCACTGTCAGGAATGTCCTAGTATTTCTGGTATAGGTAATAGATTGGATTATTAAGGTTTCTTCTGCCTGGAAATTTTTGGGAATTCTATCAGTAAAATCATGTTGTTCTTATTGCTAAATTTCCTCCTATTGTATTTTCCTTGTATCTCAGTTAACTGGGAAATGAGGCTAAAGAAATTATTTAGATTTAGATTGTTCAGGATCTTGTAGGTCATGATGATCTAAAATTTGTTAATAAGAAGCCATTTGTACTTAATGTGATAGCATCTGTCAAACACCCAAAGTGAAATGAACCATTTTGCTTATCTGCTAGCAATGCATGGGTGAGTTCCAGTTGCTCTATATCTTCATCAACATTTGATGCTGTTGAGTCTCTCATTTAAACTATTGGGGTTTCCTACTTTTACTACCATTTCTCTGGGTAGGATAATTTTTTGTTAAGTGTACCTGTTCTATGCATTGTAGAATTTACAGTAGCTTTCTAGGTGCCAGCAACAAGTAAAAATGTGTCCTGGATGTCAAAACAAGCCTCTTCCTGCACAGTTCTGTTGTTTGTAGTGTGATAACATTGTGCTTTGATTTTTGTATTTTTCTGGTGATCAGTGATATTGAGCATATTTTTATGTGATTACTAGCCATATGCATAATTTTCTTTGTGAAGTGCCTTTTAAAAAAATTGATTCTTGATCTTGTATACTTAAAATATCTATTTTCTCTTAGTTTGTGCCTTGATAGCTTGTTTTTCTGAACATTGTGTTCTCATAAGCAGAAGCTTTTTGTTTTGCTGAATTACAATTTATAAAAATTTTACTGTCTTGTGCTTACTGCATCTTTTCCAGGGCCTCCTGTGTTTGCTGCTAGATGCTTTATAGTTAGACTTATGAATTTTGTGTCAGGTTTGAGATGGGAGATGGTGTCCGCTTTTCCCTTATACCTAGTTGTTCATCTTGTATTGAAAAGATCTCTTTCTCTTTATTGGATTGTTTTGACAGTGTCATTCTGTTTTAGATTCTGTTCTGTTCAATGTACTTGTTTATCCTTTCACTAGCATCTTTGTTTGATAAACCTTGGTTTTTATACTCGGTTTCTGTATGAACAAATAAATAAATCTTAAAAAAAAAAGTACATACAAAAGTAAATACAAATGTGTGTTTGTCTATAAATACATATTGATGAAAAATGAAAAATTATACTGAGAAACATTTATTTCACATACCATTAATCTGTTAATCTGATCATTTGCTATATAAAAATAAAGGTAATTAATAGCATTTCTAAGCAGTTTTTGATTAATAAGGACTTTGCATGTTAATAAAATTGCATCGTTCGCTTTATGAATCAGTTTTTAAATTTTCCATAAATGCAAGTTGAATAATAATCCATTGCTTAAAGTGGGTAAGGGTCAAGAATGAGTAGTCACATTTCCCCTAATTTTCTGCAGTTTTGTGTGTGAAAATTGCTGTTTGTTAAAGATTACATCCTCCCTCTCCCCCAAAGCTTTGTCAAACTGTTAAGTAGGGCTCTTTTCCCATTGATGTTGATAATGTTACAGGTACCTTTCAACTGGAAAAGAATTATTGTGTTGGAAAATTATATGCTGCTGTTACAATATGTTCCATAATCTTAAAGAAAATCTATACAATTTGAGGCAGAAATGTACAGATGCTCTTATTCTCAGTGTTGAAAGGGTATGAAATGCTACTTAATATTTGTAGGCATTCAAAGGGCCACTTTTGATTACAAGTGATTATAAATTGGTATTAAGTTAGCTATGTAATGCATTTTAGCATCTTTAAGAGGAAAGTAGAAGGGGTACCTTTGCTATAATCAGAGAAAAATCACCACCTCAAACAAAAAAGCAAAGAATAATTCTTTAAACAGGTCATTTGACTATTACAAAAGCAAATGATCTTGATTATAGGAAAGGTAGTAAGGCATTAAAAGGAATTTTGTGAAAAAAAGTCTGGAAGTATTATAAGTAAAGTCAGAAGTCTATACCTTGTCTTGTAGCAAACACTATAATTTTTGTTACTGTGATTAATTGTTTTGCTGTCATCTAGGTATCACAGAATGCAAGTAGCAATATGCTTACATTTCATGGAGATTTATAAACTGTCCTTTTCTATAATAAGATACATAGGTAAGAATAGGACATTTTAAGTTTAATAACTTTAACATTTTAATTTAATACTTTTTCACTAAACTATATTTTAATACAGAACACTGATTCAGGCACTCTTCTAATCACTTTCTGTGTATTTATTTATTTAACCCTGTGAGGTAAGTTGTCATTATTATCCCTGATATGTAGATGAGGACACTGAGATTCAGAGATTAAGTAACACACTGTGTAATAGTGAGAAATTATGATGCAATCTACCTATACTTTGAAAACTGGGTAGAGTTGTCAAAAGTTACCTTGTCAGTTGCAGTAGTAATTGAACAGTGCTGATGTTTTTCATGAATACACATAATTACTCCTTTTGTATGTTTTCTTTAGGAAGTTAGAATGCTGACATATTTTAGAATATACATATATATGTATATATATATACATATATATGTATTAACAAAGGAATAAAAGATTTAGCTAAAGAATTATTCTTTGCTTTGGAATTATTTGGAAATAATTGTTACTTAATATATAACACTGTACCATTTAGAAAACTTATGTTTCTCTAAGTTGGAAAAAGAAAAGAGTAAAGCTCAGTTGTATTTATTGTTAATTAAATTGTTCATTTTTTGCTGTTATTCCCTTACTAGGGACTGCTGTGTCTGTGATCCTCTGGTATTGCTATTTTCTTGCCCTCTGAAGTATCTTTCTTCCTTCTTAGCTAAGTCTTGATCTTGACTTTTCTTTGAACTTTCTCATAACTACTATTACTTGTTTTCATCTTTAAGCATGATTTCTCTTGCCTTTTTTTTTTTTTAGGCAAGAAAACATTCTTTGTCCCTACTTTTTTCTTTTTTTTTCTTTCCTTTTGTTTTTTTTTTTTTTTTGACTCCTCCTCTTGTATTATTTCTTCCATGCATCTTCACCACTGATGGGTTCACAAAGTCCATCACCAACTCATGGAAGCTGATGAACTTTGAAAGCTGATAATACCTTCATTTTTAAATTCTGCATTTTTTATGGATGTGCTTAGAAAGGTTTTTGGTTATTTCCTGGTTTATGACTTCCAAATATGGGTAAGTGCCAGCATTTTTGCATATTATTTTGAAAAAGACTTGCACCTTGAAGCTTAGCTTCTCTTAAGGAGTTTATGATTTAGTAAATGGAGTCAGAGGGACAAGGAATGTTCAAGATATTAATGAGAACCATTATGCTGGCTTTGATGGTGCAAGGTAACAAGCGGAAAATCAATAACTGTAACAGAGAAAAAGGCTGAAAGCATTGGGTGGTGAATCAGATTATTGAGGGTTTTGAATATAGACTGCAAAGCTTGAACTTTGTTCAGTAGGGTCTGAAGCTAAACATACAAATATATAAATATGTGTGTATGAATGTAGATGTATGTATTATTGAGGTATCATTTGTTTAGTGTATTGTATATGATACAGGTGAGTGGGTTCATGCTTCTTCAGATGTATGCCATCACACTACACCCATCCCCAAAGCACCTGTAAACCACTGACTCCCCTTCTCCTTTTGTACACACCCTCACCTTCTCCCTCTGGTAGCTTCAGTTCTGCCGTTCAATTCATGGTTTTGTTTTGGTTTAGTATTACCATTGTCTTTGTTTTGTCTCTCTATACTCCACACGAGTGAACTCATCCAATATTTATCTTTTTCCTTTTGACTTATTTTTAGCACAGTCCTTTTTTGTCTCATCCTTTTGTCACAAATATCAAGATTTCATCTTTTTATAGGTGAGTAACATTCCATTGTAGATATACCACATCTTCTTAATCCACTCTTGTGTCCTTGGGTGTTTCGGTTATTTCCATAATTTGGCTGTTGTAAAGAGTGCTGCAATGAGCATAGCAGTGCATCTATATTTTTTTTAATTGGTGTTTTGCATTCTTTAGATAAATACCAAGTGTGGAAACCTCCACACATTCCCAAAG